GGGGGGGGTGGAGGGGGTGCAGAGGGTGCAGAGGGTGCAGAGGGTATAGCAGACTGAGGCGATCTGATCTGTGTGGGGTGGCTAATCACTCGTTGAATAGTTAGGGGAGGCTTCATCCTACTGAGAGACTGCTCAGGGAGACTTCTAAGTGTCACCTTTATAGGTCGTTGGTGCAGAAGTTTCTTTGTGTGTGATAGACCTTAGTTTTTTTTTTTTTTTTAGTATATATATTTTAAAATATTTTATTGAAATTTGTTCACAAAGTCGTGTTCTTCGATAGGATATCCTGCAATAGTTTCTTTTTCTTTTTCTTTTTCACTCTCTAAAGTCTTTTTATCACTTATTTCGATTCTTTTTTTCTTCTGCTTGCTGAGTATTTGATCGGGATCATATGAGTGATTGCGACTTTCGTCACTTTCCTTTATTTTTCTTGATTTTTCACTCTCTAAAGAAAACTTCTTAAAGGCCTTGTATCTTCTTCTTCTTCTTTTTTGCTGCTTCTTTTTTTTTCTTTTCTTTTTGTTTTGTTTTTCTTCTTCCTCTTCTTCTTCCTCTTCTTCTTCCTCTTCTTCTTCCTCTTCTTCTTCTAACAAGGAACTGTTTTTTTATTGAAAAAAAAAAATCCCCCCAGTGCCCAAGGTTGTAGACAATACGAAACATGGTAGTTGAATCACGAGCCATCAGGTCTCGAACCCTTGACCTCAGGATGCGTTTTATGTCGTTGTATCTACTTGGTTGCCTTTTCTATAAATAGATAAGTTTGAATAATAAATATTTGAAAACCATTTTCTCTTTTATCTTCTACCTTCCAGTTTTAATGCATGTCTCGAAGGATGCTGTCATCTTCTTTTTCTTTCTTATTATTTTAAGCGTTAAAACAGATTTCAAGTCATGTATTTGGTCACCCAGTTTGGGGGGAGGGTGGTTGCCCCACAAACTAATCACTTGATGCTTAGCAGCTAAACAAACACCACAAATTCTATGAAAATAAGCAAAGTAGAAGCTAATTGTGGCTTATAAATAGTAATATGAGGCGATAATGGTGGAGTGATTTTCATTAAATTTCATGTCAATTTACTTAATTTTGACTCGAGGTGACAGGATCCGAAGCTACGACCCTCTTGTACACAAAACAGACAGCGCTTAAAAGAGCGCTGGCAGCTCTACGAATTTGAGCGGAATGGTACAGGGAAGAAAGTCATGTCTACCTCGTCATATCGTTACGGGTATAGCATTATTTGAACCTGCGACCACTAGGCTAAAAGCCCAATGCTCTACCTCTAAAGCACCAGTACATGGGCACCTGGGCCGCGGGCCGGACAGGCTGATACCTCAAATTCTGGAAGCGCGAAACGAAAACGCGTCGGCCAATCCAATTTATGAACGGCAGGGCCAGCGTTTGACGTTTCAACCTCATTTTCTTGTGGCAACAAACAAGTCTCGGACTGCAAGGCGGGGCTGTGTCCCGGTGGTTTCATAGTGAGTAGTGATCCGTGAAAATTGTGCGTGAGGGAAATTTTATCAGCTTGCAATATAGATCTGACTTCGTATGGTGCTTATGTTTCTCGAAAGTTGGGAAAGCCACCCATAACTTCAATTAGACCCCCACCTTTACTCCCAGGCGTGGAGACGCGGTATTGCATGGCAAGCTTTTCCAATCCACCCGCTGCACACTTTTTTTTTCTGTTTTCGCTTTCTGTTTTGGCCGGTGCCGCCAGCCTCGGAAAATTTTGTAGGTGACGAGTTGCATTTTCAGCAAGGCTGGGGCCGCTTACGGGCGGTTTAAGAGATAAAAAAAGTTAATATTAGGCGTGGTTAGCAAAAACAAAGGGAAACTCTTTGGAATGCCCCTAAAAAAAGTTGGTGTATGTTGTGAGATACCCCAACTAAAACACGGGGGTATATGACGACATGCCTCTAAATTATGACCCTCTCCTGGCCATGGGCAACTTTCTGATGTACCCCTGCCTGGCCATGGAGTTGAGTGAATGCGCACTTCTTTAGCCATTAGAATTTTCCAACATGGGCCCGCCAGCCAGAAGTAGGGGGGCATGCGGAGAAGTTGTACAAGGGCCGGTAGGGGCATATGCAAAAGATGTGGGGTCCAGTCCGCCAGTGGGGTATTGCACAAACTTGCATGACTGTGAGTAGGGCTTTTTGCCATACCCGTGTTTTAGGGCCGTCTGACAAAATACCCGAAGTTTCAGGGGCATTTAAAAAATGTACCCTAAAAAGAAAGCAAGCGGACGTACTTTTTTGTAGTTTCCTGCTGATCGAACATTGCTTATACAATTTTCACGTTTACGCTTTTTTTTTGAATCGCCCCCAAAAACCACCGGGAAAAAAGTTTTAAAAGAGCCCGAAAGAAACGTGAAGCAGTACATGAGAATAGGCACGTACCAGGGCGAGGGCTGGTTTATTCCCCATCGCTTTCTGTGCGATTTTCCGCCCGGGACGTAGGATTTCTCCTCTGGGACTTGCGGTAACACAAGGCGCGAACCGAACCGTGGTCGCAATTAACCGGCCGGCAACTGTTTTGACTTTTTTTTTTTAATAACAAAATCTGTAGACTAAATCTTGGGAACCAGATGGTTGCCCGTCCATCCAGTGTCGGTCCATCTTCCTTTTGTGTGCTTTCTTTTTGTTTTGAGAGGTGACTCAGAGCCGGAGTTACGTTAAACCACCCCTACCCTACTCCCTGACTAATGCGGATTAGGAGGATGGGGCGTAACACGCATCCCCTCGATTGTGAGAGGTAGCTATGCTTGCAAGGGTCCCCTTCATAGGCTTAGTGACAGTAGTGGTAGGTACGTAGTGTGAGGTGAAATTGCCATGCTTCTGGAAATTCAGAATTATCTCATTGCGTCCATGCCCCCAGCAGCGCCGGCCAAAACAGATAGTGGTAGGTACGTAGTGTAGGTATGTATTGTGAGAGGTAGCTAACCAGCCCCCGGCAATTCAGAATAATTATCTCACTGCGCACATTGAGGTCGATGAACATTCGAACTTGGGGCCGTCTCCCTTTTTCAGAAAATAAGTTTTCAACCGAGCCTACCGTCTTCCCCCGAACACAACGCACCCTCATTTTGGCTGTATCTGGCCAGAAATATATCTGGTATACATTCATTTTTAGTGTGCGTTGGTATTTCAACATGTGTGTACGAACTGAGCTAGGCTCATTTCAAGTTGGTGAGAGTACTACTGACTAGTAGCTTAGCTTTTTATTTTCTTGAGTTAACTAAGCTAACCAGGAACATAATTTCAATTTCCCCTCTTCGTCCACCGAAGCCAATCTTTCCTTGCCTGTGCACCATGTGTTCATGAAGTGCTTGAAACCGCAACCTTGACCCTTGCTACCTCTGCGATTCCAATCCACCTGAATTTGGTAGCTTAGTCTGTGTTTAATAAGTGCTTTTGTTTCCACATCTGACATACCTCTCCTCTCAAAGCAGGAGCGATTTCTGTGTTCCCAGATAACTGAGATGATGACTGAGCGGCAGACTTGGGCAACATATCCAGCACCATGATCCAGGGGCAGATCGTCCGGGGGAAGACCCAGTAGCCCCCATTTCATGTCCCACTCCCATCGCTGTGAGGAGAAGGAGGCCCAATGCTCTGACCACCAGACCTGGATCCTCTTTGAGGCCGGGCATTCCCACCACAGGTGGGCTGTTGATTCGAACGGCCAGGTACATTTCTGCATGAAAGGCTTATCCTCATTCCTCTACTCGCCAACCACACTGCAGATGGGGTTACCAGCCAAGATAACATCCAAAGTAAAGCCGCCCATCTCTGAGACGGGATGCATAGGAGTTGCTTCCATAATCTAGGCATCCCATTAGCAATATCCACTCCTTCCAAGTCCAAAATAGAGCCCCATTGTTGCGTAACCACAACTACTGCCAGCTTCTTTGAGATGAAAATTCTGACCGAGGGCTCAAAATTACCTAGAGGGAGAGAGGAACCTCCTCCCCCAAGGCCTCTCCAGGCCCATGCCGCTGGATCTAGCCTGTGATTTATTACCGGCTGGCCATTTCCACTGAGCGTTACTACAGGCCTGGTCTCAGATTCCCAGTGCTCTTCCACTCGAACCTGAAGGAGCTTGGCTCCTATCCACGGGTCCTCTAAATCCTCATCGAAACTTAACAGTGGCTGAGACTGATCCACTCTGAAAGGTAGTGGGTAGTTCAACCTCTTTCAAAATTGAAAATGAAAAGCAAAAACGAAAAGGGAAATGGAAAAAAAAAAAAAAAAAAAAAAGCAGGCTAGGAGATATGTGGATCAGAACATGAGAAAACAAGAGTTATCCTGTAGCCTATATTAAAAACGAGGGAAAATCGTTGAAATGCCCCTGAACATTGGGGTATTACGTCAGATACCCCTGAAAGGCTTGGGTATGTTTAAATGCCCCTATGGCAGTAGTGAAACTAGGCGAAATACCCCCAGTCGCCAATTGGACCTGTCATCTTTGCATGTACCCCCACCGTGCCCAGGGCGACTTGTCTATGGGGCTCGTTAGACACTCGTCAGGTGCGTAAATGCCCCGAGGAATTCATCGTTCCTCTTATCCTCGGGGAAGAAATTGAAAAACAAATGTGAAAAACATTTCCTCGGGGATTCCTTGGGCTATAGCCATTTCGACGTGTTGGTCGAGCATCCGGAAGAATCGGGGTGTCGACGGCAGCTCTCTCGACGACAATTTTTGAAGTCAGCTGGTCCATTGGTGTTCTTGGCGGCCTGTCGACGGACATCTTCGGTCGGCAACCTTCGGCGTCATGGAATTGTCCGCCAACGATCACCGTTGCCGGCCTGCCGGCCTCCATGACGTCTAGA